GTCGCACACGTCAATTACACCGTGCTACTGTGCATTTCGCTAAAGGTTTGCAACACTTAATCGCAAGATATTCCAAGATGAAGAATCAAAGAGACAATTGCGTGCACACCCAGCCTGCATGTCTTCCGGCAAGCTGCGCATCACCACAGCTCGCGCGCCCTCATGGTCTGCACCATAGCTAAGACCCACCTTCAACTGGATCGTCAATGACGCCATCACGAAGCCGAGCTACTTTGCGTGTGCATAAGCCGCAGAGGCAAGCTGCCAAGCATGCAAGGTCGCTCAGAACGTCGTGCATGAAATGAAACCACGTCACCGCACGTGAAAACGCACTTGCAATTCAAATAGCTCTGCAGCACAACGTGCTTGCACATGATCGCCAAAATCAACACAGTTCACCGAATATAGAACCACGCACTAATAGAATGAAAGCCCCTCAAAATTGATGGCGTACAGAGACATTGCTTGCTCTCTCACAATAGTCATCAACATCGTGCACTTTTTGCATTTAACTGGCAGTCACGACCATCCCAAAACAAAACTTTCAAGATTACACTAAGGGTATCGGTAAAATCCCTACTGGACCACACTGACATGCAAAAACAACCGCATGCCAACTCAGACCTAATTGGCAGTCACAGCCATCCCAAAAAGGCTTTCAAGACTACACTGAGGAAGTTAGTCAAATGCCTCTGAGCCAAAACCCTATCCTCTGGATGGAAGCATGATACTAAAATAGATTACACATGTGAGAGCGACCCGCACTGTCACCAGCCTGTTCCCGGAATTATGCAAATAGACGAGAGATCAGCAGAGCAGCAACCTGCACTAGAACAGATCAAACAACATGAGCCATAAACATCACCGTCTCTCATTTTGCACAAGCATCCCAAAGTATCAACTCTCAAAATGAACAAGAACAGCACAGGATACTAGAACAACCTCACATACATGCTTCCGCGAAGGATAGCGCTTCTTATCCTTCATGGTGTGCTTAGCATCATACTCTACCGACTAAAAGAAGCTCACCTACATACATGCTTCCGAGACAGATAACGCTTCTCATCCTTCATAGTGTAGTTGACGCCATAATCTACCAACTAGAGCAACCTCACATACATGCTTCCGCAAAAAATGTTGCTTCTTATCCTTCATGGTGTACTTAGCATCACGATCTACAAGTAGGACAAGCTCAAACACACGCCCCTTCATACGGTACTTGACATCATACCCTACCGACTACGACAAACTGACATACATGCTTCCGCGAAGGATAGTGTTTCTTATCCTTCATGGGATACTTATTCTCATTATCTACTAAGTGTACACACTCACGTACATGCTTCCGCGAAGGATAGTGCTTCGTCTCCTTCATGGTATACTTAGCAGGGCATACTCGCACACTTGCACACACCGAAGGGTGATACTTCCTACTCTTCGTGCTAAATCAGAGTATACTCTTTTCGTATTTTGTTGGCAGTCACAGCCCTCCCAAAAAAGAGTTTTCAAGACCACACTAAAAGACTCAGTCAAATGCCTGCGAACCAAAACCCTGCCCCCAGCAAAGAAACAAGACGTTGGAATAAATGACACACGTGCGACCCCACGGTCACCGGCCTGTTCCCAGAATTCAGCAAGTACACGAAGCTCCGACGAAAACTAAACACCTGTTTGTAAAGAAACCTCGTCAAGTCCTAGCGGACCCAAACAGCACTCCATTTCTGACTGGCCTCTCAGGTTAGACGCGAAAGTAGCTCTTGCGCGTATGCCCCACTAAAGTAACTCGAGCACTACGAATTCATGGCAAAGCACATGAAGGACAACGGTTGTGCACATGCTACTACTGCTTGCACTACATCAGGCTTGCGTCTCGCCATTTGGTAAAGTAGACAAAGCCGTTGCATGGCGTGCACATGTCAACAGCACTGTTAACACTGTGTCCTCCAGACTCTCGTGCTTTGCCGTAGCCTTCGGCCACACCTTGCTGTAACGCGGGCCATTCAAACTTTTCAAATTTTGGCTACCGAGATCTTTACATTGGGCTAACAAAGGCAAAAGCACTGTGCAAAATCGGCCGGCTGTTGTACACATACCCTGTTGAAGCAACATTGAGGCCACAGAATGTTAAGCCGTCGAAGGTTGCCGTCACAGTCGCCGTATGCATACACCAACCTAGGCAGTGAGCAGGCTGAAAGCTCTTGTGCCGTTGAAGCCTCCCGGAGAGACTCCAAACTCTGTACATTTAGCAAGCCCAGAACCCAGCTCTGAAGCCAATATCCTATACAAGACTCTCCAACTCTCAGATCCGCCGCGCAACAGCATGCCCGGAGTTCTACTCCTCCTTCGCCTGCAGCTACATGCCAAAAGCTGCCGGCGCAAAGCAAAGCTGCCCCCACAACTAGAAAGCGTGACGTACGGGCATTTGTCCAGGAGCTGCGCCACGCTCCAGTACAAACGAAACCGTACTGTGTCTTCCACAGGCTTTTGCTACGCATTCCATGCCAAAGGGAATTGGCGCCATGTGCGCTTTCAGCACGAGAACATCCCTGTACGATATCCCAGATTGAGGCTACATGTAGAAAAGTGGTCACATGTAGCCCTTGACTGGCCACGGAGCGCCGAGTGGATCTTTTCTACTAACTACTGGCTTTTGTGATTTTCTTACATTTGGCAATGTAGCCCCATTTTCTAAGGCTATCGGGGCCTAAAGGACTGACTTGGCAGGAAGCTACATTGGACCTTTTTTAGAAAACGAAAAAAACTAGAAAGTGACACATGTAGCCTGTGATTTGGTCAGCAAAATTGAGGCACAACCCATGTTTGTTTCCGTAAGAGGGCACTAATTGAAAGGCTACATTAGCAAAGCTCGATTTCTTGACGACGCAGTTTCCTGGGGAGTTCCACGACAGACTTGGCAAGCACGCGTTAGACCTCAGCCGTCCCAGTGCTTCCAGCTATCATTCATGTTTACATCGGATTAATAACCACCCCCCCCCACCGGGAGAAGGTCGAGAGGGTTTTTTGGGCTCTCCAACAAAATCCTGGCACTGAATTAATCCTGGAGGTCTACTTTAGTATTGGGCAATGCAACTTTTGAATTGGGAATGAGGATCCCAGAGCTCCAGATGGATTCCAAAAGGGGCTTCGGCCCTTGCTTCCATTTGATTTAGTATTGCTGGAGCTTCCTTTTGAATTTGATTTGAGCTTCCCCTTATTTGATTTAGTATTGTTGGATTTGAGTTTGCATTTGATTTATTATTGTGGAATTTCACTTTCCATTTGATTTAGTATTGCTGGAGCATCCTTTTCAATTTGATTTGAGTATCCAGTTGATTTAGTATTGTTGGATTTGAGTGTCCATTTAATTTAGTATTGCTGGGGCATCCTTTTGAATTTGATTTGAGTGTCAATTTGATTTAGTATTGTTGGATTTGAGTTCCATTTGATTTAGTATTGCTGGAACTTCCTTTTGAACTTGATTTGAGTATCCCTTTGATTTAGTGTTGTAGAATTTGGGTTTCCATTTGATATAGTATTGCCGGAACCTTCTTTCGATTGTGATTTAAGTATCTAGTTGATTTAGTATTGTTGGATTAAACTGAAACTTCCTGCTTATTTTGATTTGAGTGTCCAGTTAACTGAGTATTTTGGAAATTCACTTTCCATTTGAATTAGTATTTCACTTTCAGGGAGTTCTGGCTGATGATGTTTCTGTTGGATTGGCAGTGCAAAGCAAGTGGAAAGCACATGTCAGCAAGGTTTAGGTGCAGTCCCATTTTCTACAGGCGCACCGTGTTAGTCTGAAACCAATGCACGTCAGAGTCTGCAACATGCTCCCTCTTGCACCAAGCTTGCACAAGAATGAAATGCCTCTGACTTGCTTACCACGAACATGCGCAAAGGAGACCTAAATTAGCAAAAACGTAGTTGGCAGAGCCAGACAAGAAACCTGTCACAATTTTGACGCCGCACCGCGCTGCCTCCAGCTCGCCATACGCCGGAGGCTCGATCCGCATGATATACCCCGCATCGTACAGCATGATCTTGGGCGGCTTCGCCAGATCATCCTCCTGAACGCAATTGCACCCGCGTGTGCTCAGACAGCAGAGACGCTCAACATTTGCATAAGCTAGCAACTGATCTCGGGAGGAAAAGTCTCAAAGTCCTTGTTCACTTCATCTGCTCCCTTAGGGATACGTCCCCACGGTTACCGAGCGCGGGCCCATCCGAAGACATGCGTTCCTACTACATCGCGAAACGTAAAACACGTAGGATAAATCCCTACATCGCATGCTCGCGCAAATGCCAGTCCGGTTCCAGAATGCCGTTGAACAATGCCACGAACGACTCATGGGGAAGATCTGCCGCAGCATCCGCGTTGGCACCCACTGCACAGCAATCCATCTGCAATCCTCAGCAGCATCCTACAGAAATCTAGCGTGCAACACCGGTGCCTGCAAAAGGGTCCCTCGCAAAAGGCGGCATTGCCAACCTAGCAGAACACTCCAAGTATCTTCTACCAACGCGAGAAACCAAACCACTGCTTGCCCAGCGACCGCTCCTATCCTTCAACTTGAAAGTAAAGGACGAAGCTCCGCGAGCCGTTTGTCCCAGCGTGGTAGACACCAGCAACTGGCCGATGAGATTTACTTTAGCGCGTGGATGCTGCAGCATGGCCGTGTACTGTGACAAATAGTTCGCAAGCCCTGGCTGCATATTCAATGCACCGGGCTCCAGCATCTCAATCGAAGAAGTCGGCAAGGCATGCAACTCTTTCGTCTCCAAAGGCGATATATAACTCGGCTGCGGATTAGTCAGACGAAAGCCAGACAAGCGAACCCGTGGCAGAAGATCCGACTCACTTTCGTACAACTGGCGCAATGCGCGCGCGTGCCGCGCCGCTACCTCTCGCCACAGCCTCGGGTTAGAGCAGAATTCCCTGCCCAACACAAAAACAGCCGCTTGCAACAAAAAGCCCCTGCAATGCAACCGCAGCCGACCTTTCCACAACGCAGCTGAGAAGCACGACCACCATCAACGTCGACATGTCCGCCACCACGAAGTCCATGACCGGAACCTTGCCGCCGCGCAACTCCCCGCAAGCAACCACAACAGCTTCCACCGGGCCCGTCACGCTGCCCGCGGTTGCCACATGGAGCGCAGAAAGACTCCCCGTCACCGAGGCGGCTGGGGTATGTGTCGCCCCGGACACGCGGCGCTTCTTCACCGCCACCGCCATGGGAAGCAAAGCTAACTAGAGCTGCCACCTTGAAAGACAAAATAGCTAGAACGCGAGCTACTGATACATGAAAACCGCAAGGCCTGTTGCAAGGGGACCCTAGAAAAAGTGTGCCACCAAAAGCCACAGTAGACAAGAAGGGAGGCGCCTTGTTCCAGATTCGAAAGCACTTGGGGAACAAGGCGTACGCCGTTTCCCAATTGACTGCATTCCAATATCAGCACGTACAAAATTCTTCCACCGAGCCAGTCTCAAGACAATGCAAGCCACCAAGATGGATGTTCTCATGCTGGAAATCGGAAACCGGTACATAAACATGTTGCCCGGAGCCTACAAGAAAACTACAAGCCCGTGTCTTTGTCACTTCTTTTAAACACACGCGCAAGCAAACCAGGAAACACAGTCGCGTAACTGGGCATCCTAATCTGGCCGTTGGCGGGTTCCTTTCTTCACAGCACCTCTGGACCAATGTTGAGGCAGCACAGCACAACAACAGTTGGGCACATCGAGCTTTGCGTTGGGTACATGGAAATGCACACGTCTTGCTTCACACTAGTCGAAAACGCCATCGCGCTCGCCGGCCTTCGTCTGCCATTGGGTAATCTCTGCCTGCCGTCCCGTAAGCAGCCATTTTCCCGCCGCCTTCCAACAATTTACGTGTTCTTGTTGTACGCTCGACGAGACCAAACAAAAAGAGACTCCTGACACTCAAGGGGGACATCTCTCCAACATCTTCCAACTACTGCTTATTGTGCGCGAGTAAGGTTTTCTTGACGACACAGAAGAGCGACTTGTGGCAAAAAAGAATGTTTATCACCAGCATCATCTGCGGTGCAATAGCTGGAAAGCAAGAGGTCAAACTAAATTTTCTTGACGAAACGAATAAGCATCCTATGGCAAGAAAAAGCGCGTCGCATCACCACCATCACCAGATTTTTGACTCGCTGGAAAGGAGTGTGGTGAGAAATGTATGTGTGTGTCTGCTGGAAGTAGCAGCCAAAAAGACCCCAAAGACTACCACGTGATGGAGAACCCAAGGAACATAACCAACTTTAAATCCCCCTTTTCGCTCGTCTTCAAACTGAACGCCCGGTTTTGGTGCACAAACAGTTCAAAGGAAGCTATAAGCAGGGTGATTTCTGAGTAGATTAAGAAAGCATAACAACAACGGGACACTTTCCGCCCTCCGTGCGGCTTCAAAAGGACGCCCCTGAAAAGCCAACCCAAAAACCAAGAGGAAAAACCGAGAGGACGCTCATGCTGCCTCCTTCAAAACCCTGCACAAGAAACAAAAACAGGGGCATAGCATTGATTCACCTAAGCAACGAATCGGGTAGGCCCACGGGATCGCCATTTTTTAGCGAATCGCTTTCCAGCAGCGGTTTCAGGCAAATGCATATGCGACAACAGAAGCGATGTAGCCGCACTCAGGGGCACCAACAAACACTACGCAAACTCATGAGCACAAGCAACAACAGAAATAGCTGTGTCATCTACTCAACTGTAAACATCTCACAAACCCATTCGGATACAAACCCAAATTCGCAGGGCAACCACGCATTTGTCGTCTCCCGGCCTTGAGTGAAGGGCATGGATCGACAGGTCCGCAGCGAAGGGCAAAGCCTGAAGCCGCTGGATGGTGGTATGTCTGTCTGTCTGTCTGTCTGTCTGTCTGTCTGTCTGTATCCATGTAGGTATGTATCTCCTCCACTCCTCCCTAACACCCCCCCCCCCCCCCCCAAAATCCCCCGGGCCAGGTCGATGATCTGCCCGTCCAAATCATCCGGCGGCGCGTGGTTCCCGAAGAATGTCGGCTCCGAGGCGACGGAATGCACCTGGACGTCCTGACCGCTGACAGTAACGCGGGCTCCATGGAAGCCTCCCGTGTGGGTCAAAATTTTATACCACCAGGGGATAATCCGCATTGACAAAATACGCCTGCCTGCAACACTCGCTCTCACAGACCCGAAAGCACAAAACATTGACCGCCTGTATGTTTGCATTTGGCGCGCAGTTTGCGAGTTTTCGAGAGGGACGATACGTTATCCTGAGGACCAGCAATTAATGCTTGGCTACTGTTTGCTGGTTTCGCATTTGCTTCAAACTTCCAGGGAAGCCTTTGCACAACCAAGCCGGAAACCAACAGGAAACCGAAGCCTACCTGGAGGAATCGGCCCCCAACTTTGAGAAACCCCCTTATTAGTTGGATCAAAAAGGTTAAAGTCAACTAACATCCCTTGGCAAACTTTGCACCACAGAATTACACTCCCCGATTGTCCGAGAGATCATGTCCCGTGCCATGGATCGCAGAGAGATGGCCTGCACAGCGCAACCCAGGAAATCTTCGTGGCTGGAAGGATAGAGGGTGAAAGATATAGGTTTGCCTTTTTTTAAGGGACCCCCCAAAATCCTGGGTTTCCCTTTGGTTTTCCTTTAAAAGCCACAAAAAAGGGGGACACCCTCAAAAAAAAGATACCCATTTGCGCGGACTCAGCCGAGGCCCCGAGCAGCAGCCAGCGCCCCAAGTGTCGCCATGGTCCAAGGCGGAAGGTATGGACCAAAGAAGTGAATTGGACAGGGTCCCTTAAAGGATACGTTTTTTTTTGCCATCTTAGAAATCACTCTTACCAGTTGAGAAAAAGACGATTCCCTTGTGAAGCAGGTGGTGAAGGAACCTTTGTTGGAACCACTGGTTGATGGTTTGATTCACCAGATTGGGGGGGATCGCAAAGACACTTGGCAAGCCTGGAGCTGCAGTAAAGCGAATGCTTTTGACTGATCTCTCCACTCTTTTTTCTCTCTTGAGGAGCGCGCGGCCTCCCCGCTTCTGCTCCGTATCCCCGACTTTGCGCTATCTGAGATGAAGGGGTCGGCGGCACTGGGCGGCAGCCCTTAAATCCGGCCACCGGACGTGATCGGGCCGCAGGCCACAGCCCGTTAGGGCTTACCTTCAGGTATAAGGCCGCGCGCCCCATGCCGCCGACCATGCGCGGACCATGCGCAGAACATGCGCATACGTTTTATGCTGGGCCCTCCCTTATAAGGGGCGAAGGATTTGCGGATTGGTTTAGGCGTTTTTGTAGCATCTCCCCGCAGCATCCAAAAACGAGTCCAAAAACGAGTATTTTTGGGGGGTGCCTAATACTGGACAACACCCCCAGCATTGCCAGCATCATCCCGGATGATGCGGATGATGCTATGCATGCTGGCGATGCGAAACAAGGGGCTGAAGGGGAAATGCAAGGAAACAGGAGTGACTGGAAGTGAACGAAATGCAAGTCAAAGGAATTGCACGAAAATGAAGCGGGCACTGGAGAGAAACCGAGATGCGGGAAAATGCACGGGCAGAGCGTGAAGGGAACCGGACAGCGGGAACGAAAAGGGAAAGGAATGCAAATAAACAATTCATGGGAAATGGCTGGATGGAATGGGCTGGAAAAAAGCATGCAAAATTGATGGAAATGAAGGGGCGTTGATGAAAAAAATGCGGGGAATGGAGGGAAAGGGGATGGATGAAAATGTGTGGACAATTGATGGAAAGTTCCTGGAAAATGCATTGATGGAATGGATGGAAAAAGGATTGCAACAGGGTGCAACAGAATGGAAATGGATGGGAAATGTCTGGAAAATGGATGCCAAAGGAATTGCACGAAAATGAAGCGGGCACTGGAGAGAAACCGAGATGCATGGAAAATGCACGGGCAGAACGTGAAGGGAGCCGGACAGCGGAAACGAAAAGGGAAAGGAATGCGCATAAACAATTCATAGGAAATGGCTGGATGGAATGGGCTGGAAAAAGGATGGACAAAAAGGATGCAAAATTGATGGAAATGAAGGGCGTTGATGAAAAAAATGCGGGAAATGGAGGGAAAGGGGATGGATGGAAAATGTGTGCACAATTGATGCAAAGTTCCTGGAAAATGCATTGATGGAATGAATGGAAAAAGGATTGCAATAGGGTGCAACGATTGAGCATCCATGGCGGACATTGCTTGGGATGATGCAGTCGATGCAGGGGGTGCTGTCCACGCCGTTCAGGGACGTGTGGGGAAATGAAGGGAAAGGCGACTGGAAATGGATCGCAAATGTCTGGAAAATGGATGGAAACTTCATGGAAGCTGGATGGAAAGTTGCTGGAGCATGCAGGGGGCGCTGTCCGTGCCGGTAAGGGACATGTGGGGAAATGAAGGGAAAGGTGGATGGAAATGGATTGTGGAAAATGGATGACAACTTCATGGAAAATGGATGGAACATTGCTGGACAATGGATGGAAACTTCGCGGAAAATGGGTGGGCAATAGATGGACACTTGCGGGAAAATGGGTAGCAAATGATGGAATGCATGGACAAAGGATGGAAATGCATGGAAAACAGCTGGATAATGTATGGAAAATTGAGGCTTCTTTTTTTAAAACACTTTCCGTGCAGAGTCAAAAACCCGAGCGGTTTTTTGAGGGGGGGGCTTGTTGCGAGACCACCAAACCCACCGAGATCATAACACAAGCCTTGGTTGTTAGACCAGAAGCCTAGCACGAAAAAAACTGCCAACGGCCCGCTAGACAGCGAGACGCAGACAGCAGAAGAGGTGTCTCGAATGATCACATCACATGTTTGCCACGGCCTTTTTCTGTCTGCCGCGCCAACACGTCTTGAACGATAATGACGCTTGCTCCAAGCTAGGCTTGTCCGAGCAGCACGCTTGGGCCGAGCTGCATGCTCGCATGGCCGGAGCCACGTTCTGGCTGGCTCTGCTCCTGTGGCTGGAAGTTTTTTCTCACTTGCCTTGAAACTTCGCTTTTGAGTTTTAACTCCTTTGTGCGGACAAGTCCCTGCGCAACCTGAGCATAACTTTGGTCCGGCCTGTCTGACTTGTGTCGAAGCTCAGCCCTGCTTGTGGCGCTTTTGGCCGGGAGTCTCACTTGGCTTGCGCGCGCACTCACGGCACACTCAGGAGGGCCAACGTCTGGCGCGGTACTCGTCCCTGCGGGGGCGCGCTCGCCC